AAAAGAGTTAATTATATAATAATATAATATGTTCTATGCTTATAATGTCACATGACAATATAATTATAACATTCTTGTTATATATATATATATATGAGTAGAGATCTATTGATACATAAGTTTTATATATTACACTTACACAAAATCTCAACCATTTATCTTTTCATTTTAAATGGTTGAGATTTAATTTTGTTTATTAAAGGTAATTATCTTTTTAATCTAAAAAATTGTAATAAATCTTAACAATTTAGAGTAGAGAGATGAATTTTTGATATTTTGTATAATTATAGTATGTAAAATTTATATATGAATGAATTCCTCTTATATATATATAAATCTTCTATTTTACAATTTAATATAATTTAAATTATTAATATAATTTTCTATATACATATACGAGTAAAGAAAAAAGATACGTATATAGGAAGAAAACAAAAGATTTTATCCTCATATATCATTCTATTCTCGGACTGTTGTGTAAGGACCGGGGCTCACCACGTTTGTGTCACGTGAAATGCATATGCGTGTAGAAAATTGATCTAGTGTGCACGTGTATGGTTGTGCGCCCACCTACGAACTCCATCACAGGCTCATGTCCCATGTATGATATGTGTGCTAATAAACGACATCATAATATATATTGTTGCTATTATAACAGAACACAAGCCAACAAAATAAAAGAAAAGAAAAAAGGGGAGGGTGAAATCAAACAAAAAGAAAACGAAAGCATCCATGGAGACAATGAAAGGTTTTTAAATAATTTTTTTTTAAAAATAAAAGGAGATAAAAAGAAGAGGGGTCCATAAGATATAAAGTTTTGGGACACCCACAAAAAATTTTGTTGTAGGGTTAACATATTGATATTTAGGGAGCCCACTTGCGTTGTATGTGGGACAAAAGAAACACCAATCTAACCGCAAAAATACCAAAGGGAACTTTACTGCTTTTTCTTGAAAATTAATCACCAAATATATATGAGCCCTCACCATAACACTTTTTCCTTCTTTTTCATATTTGCAATTGAGCCCTTTTTTCATATTGTAAAAGGGAGCTCCACTAATAACTAATTAGTCTTAAGTTAAATGTTCACATGATATTAGAGTTTTATTTTAGATTCTCGTATATATTGAGCTTGTTTTCTTTTGGAGATTATTGATACACATTTGATTTAATACAATTTTTGATATTTGTTCTGGTTTAATTATAAAAATATAATATAAATATAACTAATTTAATTAATTTTTACATCCTGTATCTATGATTATGTTTTTAAATTTATTTATCTTTAATTTTAGACAAAAAATAATTTTTTAATAAATATATTATATAATATATTAAAATAAAGTATATACCTATCAATGTCCGTTTGTTTTTTATCAACCATATTGTTAAATCTTATACACGACCTTGTTTTTGTTAAGCTTGCACGTGATACAACATATTGTGTGAAATTTTTACATTTTTGAATTGGTTTTAGAGTAAATACTCACAGTTGTTTGTTCCCAAGTAAGACATTGTCTTTTCCATTCCTTGTCCTGTTTATGATGGGGGTATACCTTACCTTAACAAGTTGTTGAGTAGTCCACCGCCACACACAAGTTTCACTGTTTCGAAAAGGGCAAAAAGGAGGGCAATTTGGGTAATATCGGTAAAGATGAAGGTGGATGGTGTCTTGTTGTGGGGGTTTTGGTGAAAGGGATGTTTTTCTACTTGAGGACAAGACAGAGGCACATGGAGAGAGGGGGAAGGGCTCTCTTTCTTTAGTTTAGAGAGGGGTGAGATGCCTTTCCTTTCTTCGGTTTATATTGTTTGTAGAGGACAAGATGGTCCTTTCTGTTTTTGTTCTTTCCTCTGTCCAATTACATAACACTCACTGCCCTATCATTTCCTGTCTCCTATCATCACCTCCCCAACACCACTCACCACTTGGAGAAAAGGGTTAAATCTCTTATTTAGTTCCTCTTTCAAAAAAAGAAAAAAAAAGAAAAAAGAAAAAAGAGTTGCAACAAAGGAAAAATGAATAATTAATGATCACTCAATACATACTATTCTCATCCACTCTGCTTGTCCCCATCTTCTCTTCTCATCATTTGTATATGCAAATGTTATTTCTCTAGAATGAAAAACATGCTTTTCATAAATAACTTTTTAGTTGATTTTAATTGATTGAAGACTTCAGTATAAAACTAGAGATGATAAGTATGACAGATACAATCATAGATAGAGATTTTTGTTATTATTATTTTTAGTTACATAATAGGAAGTTAATGAGTCCACTATATGTGTTATATAATTTGAACTTAAAATATTTTAACTTTAGTAAAAAAAAATTTAACGTTGAACTACTTTGTATATCATGGTATATTTCTCTAACATAAAGCTTCCTATTCCCACTTAATTATTTGACCCTAATAACTATAACCATCACTTATGGAATTATTTCCAAATTCTATCTCAAGACCATATATAATTTCCTTGTTGGAGTTTGGAAAAGATTTAGTTAAATTTGAATTAATAAAATGCATGAGAGATGTAAACAAAAATATAAAACGGGATCCTCAAAAGAAGTTTAACATCTTATTTGGCTATGTTTATAAGACTCGAGGGGTTAATAATATAAAATAGAATCTCAAGGGATTGATTTAGTTAACAAGAGGACTGGCTATTCACCCTTAATAATTCTTCACAAATAGTCCCTCTATTTTGGAATAATAGATATATTTTATTTTATTTTTGAATTAAAAATTAATTTTAGGACAATTTTTTTTTTACTTATTTTATCCTTTAAAAAAGAAATTATAATAAATAGACTTTTTTTTAATGATAAGATAGATAATTAATGTTAAGAGATAATTATGAGGTTAAAATAAGAAAAAAAAATTTTTTGTCTCCCTTAAAATATTAAAAAGAGCTACAATATTATTCTAAAACAAATTCCAAATAAATAATTGTCTATTATTCTATTACTTTGATTGGATTTGGGAAGTAAACTTAATTAATATCGTGTATTGAGATATTTATGACTATTCGCTAATATGTTTAGTTGGGTTAAAATTGTGAAGACCTAATCTTCATTTATTTTAAATTAATGGATGTTTTGAGAATTTTTTTTAAAGATTTTTAAAGTACAAGTTAAAAATATATTTTTATCATAAATTTATATAGAAAAATATAAGAATTGATATTAATTTTAGTATCATTATCATGTAGATAAATTTAATTAGACAATTAATAAATTAAATGTTAATTTTTATTTTTCTAAAACTCTTTAACTTTTTGTTCTTAAAATATAAGTTAAAAAAATTCAATTAATTGAAGTTATAAGAATTTTTTAAAAAAATTTTAATGGATCATTAATTTCCTTTTTTTTCAAATTTACCCACACCAACCCATTAATTGAAGGCTCTATTTTTAAATAATAAGGAATTTGTGTTGACTGTATAATCAATAATGGGGTAAATTTGAAACTAACAATTTTAAATAACACTATGACTACTTGTGAAAACTCACTAAAATCAAAATATCAATTGAATGGAATCACTACACTAGGAGTAATCCCTCCGTAGAACATCAATTAAATCCAAACACAAGGAAGTAACCCCTCAAATCCTCTCCCCCACCATTATATATACACTAGCTAGAGGCTTGGCTCATTTTCCATCATACCTCTTTCTCTCTCTCAGCAAAGTACACCACTATATACTGCGTCTCCGGTGCTCCCCAGTCCCCACTACCTCTTTCTATCCCTAATCCATTAAAAACTAAAACGCCCTTTTTCTGCGTTCAAAGCACACACAATCATCATATCTCACAATGCCTTCAAAGCCCTCCGAAGACTACCAAGCCCATCCTGTCCACCTCAAGCATCAAGATTTCACCTCTTTCCAAGAACTCCCTGACTCCTTCGCATGGACTCAACGCAGCGATGATGACTCCCACTACCTTTCCACCGGAGACTCCATCTCCGAATCTGTTCCGGTCATCGATCTTTCCGATCCTAATGCTCTTCCCCTCATCGGCCATGCATGCAAAACTTGGGGCGTCTTCCAAGTAACCAACCACGGCGTTCCTTCCACCCTCCTCGACAACATGGAGCGCATTACCAAAACCCTCTTCTCTTTACCAGTCCAGCAGAAGCTCAAAGCTTCAAGATCACTGGAGAGTGTTTCCGGCTACGGCGTTGCAAGAATTTCTAGTTTCTTTCCCAAACAGATGTGGTCTGAGGGATTCACCATTGTCGGATCCCCTGTCGAACATTTTCGCAAACTTTGGCCCGAAGATTACAGCAGATACTGGTAATATATTGTTCAAGCTCACGAAACGTCCAATATTAACACTTATTCGATCACCATCATTCTTAGCTTTTTCATGATCTTCCCTTTTCTCTTTCATTTTATTCCCAATTAGCAAAACTTATATGGACCCACAGAAGATTTAATTTGATGTGAATCAAGAAACAGGATTTCCATTTCTGAACAGTTTGTTTTGTTTTTCTATCCATAACAGTATCGTCTTCACTGTGTATTACGTACCATACAGTTCTTTAATGGCCGGATGGGAGGAGATTCTGTAATTAGTCAGGCACAAAAGTCTGAATGCTAGTTTACAACAACTTAATTGTTTTATTTTTCTGAAAAAAGAAAAAAAGTTTAATTAATTCGATTTATTTTGATTATTACAGTGATGGAATTAAAGAATACGAGGAAGAAATGAAAAGGCTGGCGGGGAGATTGATGTGGCTGACGTTAGGTTCATTGGGCATAACCAAGGAAGATGTCAAATGGGCTGGGCTGAAAGGTGACTTCAAGGAGGGTTCTGCAGCCGTACAACTGAACCACTACCCGGCTTGTCCAGACCCAGACCGAGCCATGGGTCTTGCACCGCATACCGACTCAACCCTCCTCACCATCCTGTACCAAAACAACACAAGTGGATTGCAGGTCCATAAAGAGGGAACCGGATGGGTCACCGTACCTCCGGTCCCGGGTGGGCTTGTGGTCAACTTAGGAGACCTACTCCACATACTATCAAACGGGTTGTACCCGAGCGTACTTCACCGGGCCAAGGTGAACCGTAGCCGACAGCGGCTCTCCGTCGCCTACTTATTTGGGCCCCCGTCTAGTGTCAAAATCTCCCCACTGTCCAAACTAGTAGGACCGAGTCAGCTTCCTCTATACCGGCCCGTTACTTGGAATGAATATCTTGGCACCAAAGCCAAGCATTTCAACAAGGCACTTTCTTCATTCAGGCTATGTACTCCTTTATAAATTGTATGATTATTAATATTTATTGCATATAAAGAGAAGGTGAAAAGAATCACCAGCAATTTTTTTTTTTATAATTGTATCTTTATTAATATTTATTATATATGAATCTTTTTTTGAAATATTATAATTATAATGTTACATGGCATTGTAACTTAATAACATGATACGTTATTTTATAATTAGTTTTTTATTTAAAAGTTTATTTTTAATATTATATGTATCAATTCGTTTAAAATCATTTTTTAATTATCAACTCACAATCTTATATAATATTGTAGTTATAGTATTGCTGTTTCTTTTTCTACCATAATCATTACATATTTCATCACTAATACATATTGATTTTTTTTTTAAAAGTAATAAAATTATTATTATTTATGATTCTGGGTACAAGGGTACCCAACCCGTTGCATCACTAAGACATATTGATTCTCAATCATCTGTACATAAGCCTTGATTATATATCTCTTCATCTCTCCATCAAAAACTCAAAGTTCTCCTATTCCTGCATTCTACAATTTCTACTCAAGTATGGTTGGAAAATTACTTTGGTATACTTCACATATTCTTCTCTCTCTCTCTCTCTCTCTCTCTCTCTTTTCTATATATGTATATATATTTGTATGATTTATCCCTATTAGAGTATTTATTCTTTTTTATGATTTTCCAATATTTACTTAAAATTTTTTTATTCCCTTCTATTTAGATTATTAATAATCTAAAGCTTCTTTTTTTTTTTAGGAGAAAACTATCTCAAATGAGGGATAACTTGAGAAAGATTGAATTAAATTAGAGGTCAAAAGAATCGAAGCTTTCGATATATAGCATTATGGATCATACAAAAGGTCATATCAAGATATTGTGCTTCCTATTTAATTCATATTAATTATAATTTTTGTTCTGGTAAACTCTTACTATTACTATCTCTAGGAGACAAGTACTTCTAATATCTATGGCCATATAAAAGAAAAAAGTGAACAATGTTAAAAATTAATGGAATTTAAAGACCTCCTAAACAAAAATAATGCCATAGGATTGAACAAAACAAGAAAAATATAAATATGACAAAGTAAAACAACAAGAAACGAAAAAGTAAGGGGTTCATCTAGCAATTAGCATATTTCATAAAATAAAGAATCTCAAAAAGTTAAAATTATTATTTTTTATCATTTCATACTAATCAATAAGATTATAGTGAACCAAAGATATAAAAATAATTATAAATGAAAGATGAAACATAGCAAACTATCAATAAAGTATTAGCAAAGTGTGTCATCTCTCTTATAAGATGATGAAGAAAAAATCTCACGATTATGCTAATATGACCAACCCATGGTGTCTTTTAATATTGGATTTTTTAATCTATGTTTTGTGGGCCTTTTTTTTTAATAAATATATATAAAAATGTAAAAATTAATATAAATTTTAATGTAGATGCTAAATAAATGAATTTAATTAAATAATTAATAAATTAAATAATAATTTTTATTTTTTAAATATAATTTATAATAAAAAATATATTTATTACACTTTTAATTTTTATTTAAAAAGTACAGTTTCAAAAAACCCTCAATATTAAATCTTATAGAAAATTCACAAAGTAAAATTTCAATCTATTGATCAAGATTTTAAAAGATAAACAAAAGCACACTTAAATTTGTAAAAAGAAAAGTATCTAAATAATTAGTGGATCATTAATTTCCTTTTTCCAAAATTTACCTACACCAACCCATTAATTGAAGTCTTTATTTTTAACATAACGACCGACAAACTGATGTTGACGGTAGATTTGTAATTTCAATTTTAAATAATGCTACCACTAGCTATCACTAGTCCATTGATTAGAGGTACAAGAAAATGCTTGTCTAATTTGTATTTTAAAAATATAAGTTAAGAAAATATTAATTATATATTTTTGTAATTAATTTATATAAAAATTAATTTTAAATTTATCAACTATCTAATTAATATCATTAAATGGTATTGATGTTAAAAACAATATTTTACTTTTACATTTTTTTTATAAAAATGTATTACAAAATAACGCATTTAATGTATTTTAATATGTGCTTTTAAGATATAAATTAGATAAATCCTATAAGATGTTTAGGTTGAGGGAAAGGGAGGAGAGAAACATTTTTTTTATTTAGTTATAAAAAATTGAAAGAGAAAAATTTTTAATTTAATTTTTTTCTTTTATTTTAGCTATTTATTCAAATAAAGAAAGAAATGAGGAGGAAAATGAGGAAATGAAAAGATAATTCCCTTTTTCTCAACTCTAATACAAGGTTAATTACTTCTGAAACTCCTTGAAACTTCAATTACATGAATCACAAGGAGTAACCTCTTCCTAAAATTAACGTCAATTAAATCCAAAACACAACGAGTATAGAACCCCTACTTAAATCCTTTCTCTTACTTCTTTTTTTTTTTTTTTTTCCTTTTACATCAAATCAAAAGATAATCTATACTATAATCATTTTTTTTTTAAGTTGATGTTTAATTATTTCAACAAAAAATCAAATTTGAGATGATTAACATAAAATCTAACTTTAAATATTGGGAGACTTTATCCCACCTCTATATATATATACACTGGAAGCTTGGCTCATTTTCCATCATACCTCTATGTCTCTCTCAGCAGGGTGCACCACGGTATCCTGCCGCTCCGGTGCTCCCCATTCCCCACTACCTCTTTCTATCCCTAATCCATTAAAAACCAAAACACCCTTTTTCTGCTTTCAAAGCACACAATCATCATATCTCACAATGCCTTCAAAGCTCTCCGAAGACTTCCAAGCCCCTGTCCACCTCAAGCATCAAGACTTCACCTCTCTCCAAGAACTCCCTGACTCCTTCGCGTGGACTCAACGCAACGATGATGACTCCCACTACCCCTCCATCGGCGACTCCATCTCCGAACATGTTCCGGTCATCGATCTTTTCGATCCTAATGCTCTTCAACTCATTGGCCGTGCATGCAAAACTTGGGGCGTCTTCCAAGTAACAAACCATGGCGTTCCTTCCACCCTCTTCGACAACATGGAGTACATTACCAAAACCCTCTTCTCTTTACCAGTCCAGCAGAAGCTCAAAGCTTCAAGATCACCAGACAGTGTTACCGGCTATGGCGTTGCCAGAATTTCTTCATTCTTTCCCAAGCAGATGTGGTCTGAGGGATTCACCATTGTTGGATCACCTGTCGAACATTTTCGCGAACTTTGGCCCGATGATTACAGCAAATACTGGTAATATATATATGGTTCATGCTCACGAACGTCCAATATTATTAATTAATATTTATTCGATCACCATCATTCTTAGCTTTTCATGATATACCCTTTTCTCTTTCATTTTATTCCCAATTAGAAAAACTTATATGGACCCACAGAAGATTTAATTTGATGTGAATCGAGAAACAAGAATCCATTTCTGAACAGTTTGCTCTGTTCTTCTATCCATAACATAACCACCTTTACTGTGTATTACGTACCGCACAGTTCTTCAATGGCTGGATGGGAGGAAATTATGGAATTAGTGAGGACAAAAGTCTAAATACTCATTTACAATATATATATATATATATATATATATATATATTTTGAACATTTTGTTACAGGTGGCTCGAACCATTACCTTGGGGAGGAGGACATAAACCTTACAAGCGTGGCTAGAGTCATTTGCCTCGAAGGGTCAGGTTCATTTACAATTTATTTTAATTTTTTTTCAAAGAAAAATTTTAATAATTTTAGTTTTATTTTATTTTTCACAGTGATGGGATTAAGGAATACGAGGAAGAAATGAAAAAACTGGCAGGGAGAATTATGTGGCTGACATTAGGTTCATTGGGCGTAACCAAGGAAGATATTAAATGGGCCGGGCCGAAAGGTGACTTCCAGGATAGTTCTGCAGCCTTACAACTGAACCACTACCCGGCTTGTCCAGACCCGGACCGAGCCATGGGTCTTGCACCGCATACCGACTCAACCCTCTTCACCATCCTTTACCAAAACAACACCAGTGGGTTGCAGGTCATGAAAGAGGGAGCCGGTTGGGTCACCGTACCTCCAGTCCCGGGCCGGCTTGTGATCAACGTGGGTGACCTACTCCACATACTATCAAACGGTTTATACCGGAGCGTGCTTCACCGGGTCAAGGTGAACCGTAGCCGTCAACGGATCTCCGTCGCCTACTTGTATGGGCCACCGTCTAATGTCAAAATTGCGCCACTGTCCAAACTAGTTGGACCGAGTGAGCCTCCTCTATACCGGTCCGTTACTTGGAATGAATATCTTGGCACCAAAGCCAAGCATTTCAACAAGGCACTTTCCTCATTTAGGATATGTGCTCCTCTAAATGTAACAGTGTAGCAGTGTGACACTAAATTGAGGCGGAGGGAGCACAAAAAAAACCAGATTCTTAGATACGAGTAAGTGAATAAAATAATGAATAAGTGACTTTCTTCCACAGTTACTATTGACCAATTATAATGAGAACATATAAGTCATGGGGTGTCCCCTTGTTGTAAATAATCATAATACAAAGATATGGAACCAAACGAACAAAAAAAAAAAAAGGGTGCAAAATCCCAAACAGAGAAAACGGGTAGTATAGTATTAGTGATTCTATGGTTGAGATCCTGTGAAAAAGGCTCAAAATGGATAAGTTAAATCAAATTATAAAAGGGGGCGAAGACAAAGTGGGTCTATTGTTTCTCTTGTCTTCCTTCTAAAGGAGATAAAAAGGAGGAAAAAAAAATACCCATTTGAAAATTCAAGGAAATGACACCAGAACCGACATGTTTTTGCCCCAGATATGGAGGAGAATCCTCTGTCCAATTAACAAGACAATGACCAAGATAAAATGGTTTGGTTAAATCTATGTTTTATTTGACCAAATATAGAAAATATATTTAGTTAAAGGAGAGAATAACAGCCCCATGATATTGATTGAGATAACATTTGGGGCATTATTGCAAGACATAAGTGTCAGTCCCTTTGCATCAACGTCCAATTTTCTGAAAACTGCAAGCCTGCAACCATGTGCAAATTGACATCAAGGTTTGAGAAACCTTACCTTATTCAAGGGGATGAGGCAGTTTTTACCGTTTGATCAATTTGTTTGTCTGTGTTTTCCTCTTTGGTATGCAAGCTAAATTCAATGAAACCAAAGAAAATCTTCCTTTTTCCTGCCATATCTGAGACAACTAAAATAGAGGATATTATCAACAAAGAAAATGGACAAGAGAATTTCAACACGGGTTTGTTCTATCCTTAACAAAGAAATGTCATCATTATTGGTAAAAACATTAATCAAAGTCCAAGTTTTCAGCTCAAATTAGGAAAATTTTGTGGAGGCAAAACAACCATGTTCCCACGAAATGAAGTTTTTTTCTTCTTTTTTTTTTTCATAACACGGGTATCCGGACTTTATCCAGACTATAACAATATATCAGTAGGCACTCCGTAATTGTAAATTATATCTAATCTATTCATGTCACATCAAAAGGAAGAACGTCCAAGATTTGTCAGATAAGATGTTTTATTAGATCTAGAATCTAGATTCCATTTCCACAGCACCAACATATCATTATGATGTCAACTCAGATTCAACATTCACAATTAGCAATTGCTTTGATACTAAGTCTATATGGTATCATCAAAAGCAAAGCATTTTCGAGATTGGGAATGATCTAATTCTTCGGTTACTCCTTTTACCCTCAGTGGATGAAATGTACACTTGACCTACCATGATAACAAAGGTATCTATCTCGGACATAAACTTCCTCCGAAATGATGTGCTTGTACACCCGTATTCATGATCTAATTAAGCACGTATATAACATGGGTTTGACTACGTATTTACTCAATTAAAGTGAGACTTACTTAAATGCAAAAAAAGAAAGTAACGTATGGTCTACATAGGCACAAGTTTTAGACCTTTCTAACAACAGAATTCGCTGCCATGCATATTCCTAACTGCATGCTAGATAATGTAATGAAGTTATGTTCGTGTAAATAATCTTTCTCAATACTTTCTGACAACCTAGCGATTTCATGGAAGATTACTATAATTCTTGACTTTAGCTCAAGAAGTACACGTTTTTCTTTTCTGTTAAGGGGTTTTGAGTCCAATCATTCATTCCCAAAGTTGCAGATTTTTTACCTCTCCTACATCATTTTTTTAGGGCCCATTGCCAACTATATATGAACATAAAAAATTCGAGAGGCATGATGAATCTTAGTAAAGGTGAAAGTGGGGTACAGTTTGGGATCAAACACCACCTGATGTCTCACATAAGAGGGTATGCCGACATTGGTAGGCCGACACTGATAGACCGACGCTAGTAGTTAAAATCAACACTGTATGTTTGGGACCAAACGCCGACATGTGTCCAATTGAAAACCTGAAATTACCACAATTTCTTTAGAAATAAAATTGAGACTGATCTGCTAATTACTAAATGTAATGTTTAGAAATTCCCCACCCCCTCCTCCCCCTCAACACACACATGGTGTATTAGGGCCTCTGCTCAGTAGTAGGCCATCATTAAGGCTTTGCAAGTCCCTACTAATGTCTTTCTCAAAGACTAAAGAAAGGAGAAAAGGAGAAATCTAATTCACTAATTAAGTTCTTGTCCTTCTATGCTTTCTTTTAGTATAACATCTGAGCCAAAACTGCATTATTGAACTGCCCTTTATCTATAATCTAACACACACCAAATATAATATAATTCCTTTTGCTGTAAAAGCTCAATATAGGAGAAACTATTCAACTTAAGACGTTCACTACTAGAAAACACAGTATAATCGACAGAAAATACTATCGATTATATAAAGATTTTTGTCGATTATACCTTAATGGACAGACATAATCAATAAGCATTTATGTCGTAAAAACGGTAGTCGAAAAAGATTATAATCGACAGCCATTGGCTGTTGAATATAAGTATATTTGATAGCCAATGGTTGTCGAATATACTTGGTGAAAAAATTAAAAAAATACAAAATTTAAAAAAAATCCGAAATCATATTTATAATTTTTTCTGTTAATTAAATTATATAAAAAACAATGAAATGAAATTTCAACACAATTATCAAATCCCCCAACAATATATTTATGAAATAATTTTGAGAATTATATAATATAAGAAATAGTAGA